ACCGAGCGTGTACGTGCTTGGTCGCTACGTAGGGATCGAGCTTGGCTTGAGATTGGTCACTACAAATCAACCGAGCGTGTAAGTGCTCGGTCGCTACGTAGCAATCAAGCTTGGATTGGACTTGGTCGCTATGCAGCGACCAAGCTTGGCTCGTGCGTTGATCGATTTCCATGCTTGATCTGGTACATGGCTGGTTCGGATATTTTTCTGTTGCTCTCGGACGATCGTGTTTAGTTTTTAGCGGCTTTATTGAGGCTTTTGCAAGTTCTATCGAAGAATATTTTTGCAAAGGTTTCTTTCCGGAAAATTATTTTCTGGAGAAATGTTGTTATCAATTTTTAAGGACGTTTAGCCACTGATTCCGTCGTGGTCAATTTTGACCCCAACAGTTAGCTCCCCAGCTCATTAGAACCATGAGCTTCTAGCGAATGGTTAGACAATTTTAGGCAAGTTATGAGGAATTAATGGTTGAAAATTTCCGCTTAAAGGGGTCTTCCCACTCTCCTTGGAATGGAAAGTGGTAGGATTGGGGCTGCGCCTAGTGAAGGCTGCTTACAAACCCTCTTGAAGGGATCAAGCTTTTCATAGTTTGTCTTGGAGTTAAGGTTCGTACGACCTGTTTTCCTGTGAGACCTTTCCGGTCTAGTTATTTGTAGAGATCATCGAGCATGTTGATTTTGATGGTATTTTCTATCAGCCTCAAGACTTGCCTCTAAGGCTGTTTAATGGTATTTTTGACTGGCAGTGTGTAGCTTTGAGTTCGTCCCACTTTGTGGTTTGTTATGAATGGATAATTAGTTTGTGTTTTTAAGAGCGTTTTTTATTCGAATGAATATGGAGGAAAGAATATGAATTTTCGTCTCATAGTTTAACTCTTTTTATAGATCGTTCTATTCATTTTCCCATTTTAGGATGTTAAGAATTTCGTGAGCGTTTAGATGTGAACGAAGAGACATGCCTTTAGGATCTCATTTCATGCCTTGAGACGTTAGAGACCAGTGTGTTGGGTTTAGCGCAAGACTAAGGTTTACTTTCGGTTTTAAGGCTTTGTGATGACTAGTCGGCATTCGTTTCGCCTATTGTGATTTAACCTAATTCAGTACCGATTTAGAGTCTGTGATAGATTCTCGGCTTTTACAACTCTTCTGGCCGGAATCGAACATCTCACCGGAGACAATTTTTTAGTCATCCACAAGTGCTGACAAAAATTTTGGATTTCTTTTATAGCGCTATTACCCTTGTTCCGGGTGTATGAGAGCTATCTTTATGAGATCGCTAAGTCTGTTTAAGACTTTTAGGAGTTTGTTGTGATCAGCAACAAACTTAATTGGTAGATGTTACTGTTGTTTGGATCTTCGCGAAGGATACGTATCTTAGAAAGTTTTTTTATAGTCGCGGTTGCACTGTTTGGTCTTCCAAGAAGGTGACTTTATCGAAGAAGGTATTTTGTCGAAAACTATTTTTCAGGCGTCTATGACGTCTCGCGATGCTGAAGATTGTTTTTGCTTTCGTATGCCGCATTTCGTGTTTGAAATTTTTGCGGGCTTGGAGATGTTTTGCGGTGTTGCAAAGGTTTTTGTCTTAACGCTGCGTTGGAGGAACATCTTGGTTTGCTCGCGCACAGTTACAGCTAAAACTTTTGTTCCCGTTCGGATGTTAAGTAGTTTTATTTCTGATAGAGGAATTAGGACCAAAGGGTCTCATAAATTTATCCCTAAGAAGAGGCCATTTCCCTTCACAGTGCTTTGTGACGTGTTGGCTTTCCGAGATCTATTTCGTGTAGTTTTAAGGATAACTCGTATAGCTTCAGGAGTTTTGTTACGAGTCTTTTATTACAAGTCAGATTTTGTAGGTAAAATGGTTTGCAATTAGAGTGAATTGTGAGGATATAGAATTTAGTCGATTTTCTCCAAGTTTCTATTATCCGTTTAATGTATTGGCTTGGCGTGAAGGTTGTGTTCAGCCGCATAGCCGAGGATTTTGTTGGCAAAGGATGACACTTTTGTGTTATTAATAAGGTCAAGTCGGTTAAAATCGTCCTTAAAGGGGATGCCATAATCCAGCTCGGCTTTGAAGGGAAAGCGTAATTGGACGAGCGCCAAGTAGCGTTTGTCGAGATTGATATGCCAAGTATGTCTGTGGTCGTAGAAAATGTTTTTCCACTTTAGGTTTAATTTACACGATAAAATTTTGTGTAATGTTTCTTTTATTCGTATGGAATTTGATTCCTCTTTATCCAAGGGATACAAAGCTTAAGAAGCTCGATGCAGAGCCCATGTAGAGTCAGTTGCGGGATAATTTCCTGTTCGGATGTGACCAATGGGAATGAGAGCGGATGCCAGTGAACCGTGGGACTAAAGAATGAGATCTTTCAGATCGTGGTGCGAGGAAATAAAGTTTAGATTGGTCGTCAAATGTCGGATCGTACAGCTTGGTTTTTGCTATAAGGAAAGTACTTTTTCATAAAACCTGTTCGCTTACTTTCGAAAGTTACTTCGTATGAAGGATTTTTTTTTTTTTGCATAAGTAACGGGAGACTAGTTTTTAAGAATTGAGTAAATTGACGCGACGTATGGAAATGTCAAAATAACGATGTTTTCGCATACTTTTTTAGAAACATTTACGCTTTGGTTTTGATTCTTCAGTGAAAGTTTCTTTGAGTCACTCATGGATTTTTATCGAAGGTTATTTCACCGAGATCTAGTCGTGAAACGTTTCACAGGTTTCTTGAGTGAAATGAATCAGTTAACCAGCGATAGACTTAGTCGACGAGCGAGGAGGACGTGTTCTCTTTGTCGTATTTGCTGTTACTATTGTTCTTGATTTTGCTTTGTCGCAAATGGTTTTGATGCTTTTCGTGACTCGGTTTGTTCGACGGAAAATGAGAGCGATGCTTTGATGCCTGAAGAATTCTCGTATAATATTTTCGACCCTTATACGAAACTCATTTTATTAAGTCGGAAAAGATCTTTATGACTTCAGCAAATCATTCACTTTCATTCTGAAGTTTGGCAGAGGTTTTCTAACGAATGATTGCGATGAGAGATGCTGTATAGTCTTTGAGAATTTTTCCCAGTTAGTTTGGTTCAGTTTCTAGCGTTTAGACGAATCTCAGATTGTTGTTTGCTTTTAGGATGATTTTGACGAGGCATCGTATTGTCAGAATATTTATCCACATATTTCTACGAGAGTTTGCTTCGTCGAAAGTGTTTTCTTGATGTGAGGAAAACTGTTTTTTAAGTATGGGAGTATACGAGTATAGTATACGCACCTACTCCCTCTCTTTTTCTTAAGAAAGAAAACAGATGAACTCTTCTTTCGAAGAGTTGTGTACGTTTTCTTCTTTCGAGGATCGGGAAGATCGATAATCAGGGTCGATTCTAAAGACGATATTGGATAGATGTTGACTTGGAATATATCGATTCTAAAAAAATTTCTAGGAACGAGTCGGTTTTATGACGACGTTTGTATCTCTAGTTATTTCTTTCTTTGGAAAGTGAAATGAGTACGCTTGAATGTGTGGCGATCGTTTCTCAGTTGTACGAGAGATTGGATCGGTTTGTAAGTTTTTCCTAAATGATTAATGAACAGTAGACAGGAGGATAACTTTGGGCAGCCTCATGCATGAGAGACAGGAAGATAACTTCGATACGATTTGAGACGGACTGCTCGGACCTAGTGGACATCACTACAAATCCGGAAGACTGGCCAACTTTCAGGACAGAGATTGAAGATTCCGGGGAATACAGGAGGACTTTGAGGATGTGAGCATATCTCATATTCCTCGGAGTATGAATGGTCGAGCGGACGCACTAGCAAAAGAAGAAAGGATCAGAAGCTATACATTTTCCCATATAGATCAGACCCGGCCAGACGGAGGTGCTCTTCAGAGAATCGGCTCGTCTGACTCCACCTTGATCTAGTTTAGATGGGCACTTGACAAAAAAAAAGATAGGAAAAATTGCCTAAGACTTAGCTTGCTATACTATCCACCTAGATTCTAAGTTCCCTAAGGTCTATGGCGGTTTTTTATTTTTTTTCTTGTGAAAACCCTAAGTTCGATTTAAGAAAATTTCAAGTCGGACATACCTTAGTTTTCTTGGAGATGTAGTCTTGTATGTTCTCAGTTTTGCTTGCTTATTTCCCCTTCCTCTTCTCGTGTATGTTCACCATTTTTGATATTGGTGTTTATCCTTTCAAACATGATATTTATCGTCCGAGCTTGACTGTTATCTTCTCCTTAGATACGGAGTCAATTTTTATAAAAAGGTTCAATGTAATCGTATAGTTGAGGTGGCTAAGGTGTTAAGTTAATCATTGTTGTTTTATACGATTAATTTGAATTCATGTGAGAAAACAAGTCATTGCAGTTTTTTTATCTTAAAGTTTCAATGGTAACTCCAATCGAAACGACACAAGAGACGTTTCGATCGAGATTCAAAGGTGAACACAAAGATGGAGGTAAGGGCGAGTAGGAGCAAGCCAAGGAGTTTAGACGAGTCTTACTTGTTTTCGTCGTAAAATCTCAACAGAAAATCTGATTGAGACGAAACGAAAAGCGTTTCGATCGCAATTCAAAAGAGAACGCAAATGAGGATCTTTTTGAGGCCTGACAGGTCACTATGTAGCGAGTTGGAGGTCTGACAGGTCGTTAAGTAGCGAGTAGGAGCAGGCCAAGAAGTTTAGACGAGTCTAACTTGTTTTCGTCGTAAAATCTCAACGGAAACTCTGATTGAGACGAAACGAAAAGCGTTTGATCGCAATTCAAAAGAGAACGCAAAGGAGGAGCCTATTGGGGTCTGACAGGTCGCTACGTAGCGACCTGGACCGAATGGGACAGGTTGCTACGTAGCAAACTGTTCCGTGTGTGGGTCAGCTCACTATGTAGCGACCTGAACCGCATGGGAAAGGTCGCTATGTAGAGACCTGATCCTATGTAGGTGACAATTTGTGGAATATGTTATGATAGAAGTGTCACTTGAATTTTTACAAAACTTTAGATTTTGAAAAACACTTTAGCAGTAAGGGGTATGATCTCCCGTTTTGCTTTGTTTATTCTTCGTCAACCATTTTTAAGTTTCGAGTGATTTTTCGAAAATCGACTTTGTTTCTCCAAAATTTATTCCGAAGAAGTACAATCGTGGGGGCTGCGTAGTCGATTTCCTGTTCCTTTTCTTTCAGCGGGTAACCTAGAGTTTTTCTTTAGTTTCAGGGAGAACAAGTTTTATTCCAGAACGTTTTCAGACAACGTGTTGTTGGTCAAACCCTTACTCGCTGAGATTTCTCCAACTTGGTTATAAGACAAATTTTACAGGGTTTGATATATTTTATCGTTGCTCTTTCTATTTAGACAGATAAATCGCGAGCTTGTTTCTCCTTCCGTAGCGAAAAATTCGCGACTAGGCTTTCGATTTTGTTGAGGACTATGGCGTTTGCGTAAGCGTTGTCCATAGTAGCAGTGAGTGCTGTGACTTTTTCTTTCATATATCCAGACATCATTTCGATCAAGCGTTTTTCGGCTATGAGTTAGAGTAATCCGTACCCCCCCCCTTCTTCTAGCGCCAAACTGTGGGAACCAAAATTCGTACTGTCGATTTCCGTTGAATTAGGAACGTAAGGTAAACCCTTGTTTCCCAGAGGTCCCGGATCTCTGCGACAACCAACGATAAGTAATAGAAAAGATGCGGAAAATATGAAAAGATTACAAAACGAGTTTATAGAAAACAATAGATCTTATTTCGAATCTCTGTAATAGCATCACGATCATTACAAGGGATGATAAAAGCTTCGGCCGCAAGAGCTGTCAGCGAGTTACATAGCTCTAGCAACCTAAAACCTTTAAACCTAGTTGAGTCGCAGCTCGATAAAAAAACACGAAGAGTTTACGATAAAGAGGTTTTGATTGATTTTGGACTGAACCTTATGAAAGGCTGCTTACGTACCTCTTCCGAGGATCAAGCGGAATGTAGTTCAACTGATAGAGTACAACAAGAGATCGAACTGCCTGGGCGAGTTCATCTAGTATTGAGTGCAAGTCATAGAAACCGAACTTGTCGACAATAAAACCAAGGGTTTTTAAGGGCAGATAGTATTGAGTCAAGAAGAGTCATTTTTTTCCTCTCGCCTAGGACTCCTTATATACTCCCTCCTAGGTCGGTTTATGCTTTCCCCCTTCTGCCATTAAGCCGTCATCGCTCAAAAAATGGAGATATTCCATTTCTCCAGATCGTCATGATTATCTTTGGACAATTGACATTTATCCGCGGAAATTTACATTTATCTTTTCTTTTCAACCTAGTCTAAATGGCCATAGTGTTTATGGGCTTTAGGTAATAAATCGTAACTGGCTTCTAGTCGCGGTTTAGGCCTCTTTGGGCCGTTTTTGGAATTGAAACGTTTATTACGGTTTCTTCGATAAGAATAAACTTTCCGCGGTTTTTATCGTAAAGTTTGAATGATGACTCCGGTCGATAAGGAACAAGGAGTGGTTAACCGGTCGCCTAAGGGAGATAACATTAAAGAGTAAATGATAATGCATGAACTCGTGTTGTACTGATGTTCGAAGCAGTCTGGTCGCTACTTAGCGTCCCGGACTGTGCGTGAGCCGGTCGCTACGTAGCGACCGAGCGTGTACGTTCTCGGTCGCTACGTAGTGACCAAGATTGGCTTGACCTCGGTCTCTATGTAGCGACCGATTTTGGCTCGAGTTCAGTCACTACGTATCGACCGAGCGTGTAAGTGCTCGGTCGCTACATAGCGACCGAGCTTGGCTCGAGCTCGTTTGTTACGTTGCGATCGAGCATGTACGTGTTCGGTCGCTACGTAGCGACCGAGCTTGGCTCGAGCTAGGTCGCTATGTACCGACCAAGCGTATACGTGCTCGGTCTCTACGTAGCGACCGAGCTTGGCTCGAGCTTGATCGCTACGTAGCAACCGAGCGTGTATGTGCACGGTCTCTAAGTAGCGACCGAGCTTGGCTTGAGCTCGGTCCCTATGTAGCGACTGAGCGTGTATGTGCTCGGTCTCTACGTAGCGACCGAGCTTGACTTGGACTTGGTCGCTACGCAGAGACCAAGCTTGACTCGTGCGTGGTCCGATTGCCATGCTTGATATGGCCAATGGCTGGTTCAGATACTTGTCTGTTGCTCTCAGACGATCGTGTTTAGTTTTTATCGGCTCGATTGAGGCTTTTGCGAGTTCTATCGAATAATATTTTTGCAAAGGTTTCTTTGCGGAAAATTACTCTCTCGAGAAATGTTATTATCCATTTTAAGGCCTTTTAGCCATTGATTCTGTCGTGACCGATTTTGACCCCAAAACAATATCCTACAAAAGCTTATGGCAGACCATCTGGGTCTGAAAGTGGAGCCTTCAGAAGAATCTTTCACCTTTTTGGATTGTTCTCAAAGGAACTTGTTGGTGTCAAAATCGGTCACGACGGAATCAATGGCTAAAAGTCTCCGCAAAAGTAAAAATAAAAATACGTTTTATAAAACTCGAGAGATCGTTTTATAAAACTCGAGAGATCGTTTTATAAAACTCGAGAAATCTTTTATAAAACTCGAGAAATCATTTTACAAAACTCGAAGAATCATTTTATAAAATCTCGATAAGTCATTTTATAAAAGTCGAGAAATCGTTTTATAAAACTCGAGAAATCATTTTATAGAACTCGAAGAATCGTTTTATAAAACTCGAGAAATCATTTTATAAAACTAGAAGAATCGTTTTATAAAACTCGATAAATCGTTTTATAAATCTTGAAGAATCGTTTTATAAATTTAAAAGAGATTTCCGAACAAAGGAAATCCGCGAAAAACTCGGAAGATCGTTATCTCGGAAAAATGAAACAAACGTCGATTGCACGATCGTCCGATATAAGCACGAAACCGTCGTAAACCGCGAACTAGTCTCTTTCTGACTAGTTCGCCCAACGGCGAACTAAACCAGCCGTCTTAGTTCGCCGTTGGGCGAACTAGAGGCTTCCCGGACAGTTCGCCAACCTGCGAGCTAGACCGGTCCGGCTCGGTTTGCCGTACGTCGAACCGACCATCCCGAGCCTCGATCTCCCGCATCCCAAATTCAATGCTTACGTCCTTCGACACGGTCGTGTTCCGAACCACGGTCGAAATGTCTCATGTTTCGTCTCGATCTGACCTATCATTCGAGTTATACGATAAAAACCGTAAAACTTTGTTTTCTGGAAAAGAACCCGAGGAAATCGTATAAAACGGCAACGGTTAAACGAGACACCAAAAATTGCCTAAACTATAAGATTTATTCGAGATTTTTCGTTAAAATCATAAAAAAACGTGTTTTTAATAAAAACGTCGAGTAAATCGTAAAAAACGGGAACGATTAACCGAGAAATGATTGTAGCTAAACTTTACAATTAACTCGGGAATTTACTAAAAACGGCATCGGATCAGGAAACGATCTCGTACAAGGTCGAAAAACGGATTTGTCGCAAGACGGCCCAGAAGGTCCTAAAACGCGATAAAAGCCCATCTTGCGATCTTAACGAAATCTTACCCGAAGATACGATAACGTTTTCACGATTTACTCGCAGAAGGAAGATAAATGTCAAATTTGAAGATAAATGGCAAGTTTGAAGATAAATAGAAGATTTCCGCGGGAAAAAAGGAAAGATCGAGATAAATGGAAGATTTCCGATAAACTCGAATCTGGGCGAAATGGAAAGACTAAACCGCCTAGGAAGGGAGTATATAAGCAAGAGGCATAGGGCAGAAGTAAAGGGATGAAATCCAGAGCTCTCATCTGAGAATTTTACAACTTTTCTAGACTTAGAATTTTCCGCACTTAGAAACTTAGAATTTTTTCTCGACAAGTTCGGTTTCTATGACTGGCGCTCAATTACTAGACGAACTCGCCCAGGCAGTTCGGTCTCTGTTCCAGCTCTATCAACTGAACTACGTTCGACTTGATCCTTGAAAGGGGTACGTAGGAAGCCTTTCATAAGGTTCCGTCCGAAATCAATCAAATCATTTTTCTTATCTTTTTCCGTCTTTTGTTATCGACCTGCGACTCGATTAGGTTTAAGGTTTTTATGTTGATAACTCGCTGACGGCCCTACGGCCAAAGCCTTTGTAAACCCTTGTAATGATCGCAACGCTCCTACGCGAAATCGGAAATAAGATCGACTTTCTCTATGAATTCGTTTTATTACGTTTTCATATTTTTCCGCATTTATTTGGTTACTTTTCGTTGGCTTTCGCAGAGATCCGGTTCCTCTGGAAAATTAAGGTTTTCCTAAGTTTCCTTATTTAACGGAAATCGACAAGGGTGAATTTCAGTTCCCAAAGAACTCAGGAGGTATCATCAGAGACCTTGAGGTGCAGATTGGTAATACCCTAATTCATGTAGATTTCACGTCATGGACATCAAATTAAACTAGAATTCTTCTCTCTTACTAGAAAGAGCATTTATGGCCACAGTAGGAGCAGTTTGTGACATGAACACCAACCGTCTGCCTTACACTGGTCGATCTAAACATCTATTATGATCCAGTTCGATTTGTCAAACAACAGGTGAACTTTATGGAGATTGGAGATGACCTTGGCTTCATTGCCGCATGTAATTGTGGAGCTGAGTATGAAACATAGTACTCGGAATCGATCGATACACACACTGTGTCATCGACCAATTCTCTTGATCAGCAGTTAACCGATATACAGCAAGCCACATCGATTGACATGTTCCCCATCCGTGGAACCCTACCAGATCACTGCTATCCCAGATTTTCCTTTCAAGCCACCAGCAAACAGGACGATTATTCCATAGGCAGTTGGGCATACAGTGGTTTTCATGAGATTTTTGCAGTAGACACTACAATCCTTCGACACTCAAAACATTCTAATGGGGAGTATGATAAGGATTATGAGGAGCATGCTATAGATATTGATGATATTCTTACTGAGGATATACTTTTAGACCACTCTCACACGAAGAAGAATCCAAAATCGATCGACAAGGACCACCCAGCCTCGGTCGATACTCATCCTCATCCATCCAAACATACACGCGAATTGATCAACAAATAACATCCCAAATCGATCTAATATTGAGGCAACCGATTTCGCAGAATTTGGAAAATTTCCAATTTCAAACAGGGCAAACGATTGCTATAAAAGAAGT